AAAGTTTATTCCGGTTACTACAACAAGTTTGACTTTATATCTTCATCATTTCGACATCAACGCTCATTCCAACGTTACAACAATGCCTGACGAGAACCATGAAATCAACTTTCATCGGCCTTATAATAAATAATTGGATAAATATGAGATAAATTTCTTCCTAGTTTGCACCACGCACACCACACTCACTATGAGCGGGTTTTGAATCACCGACTGTTTTCAGTTTGCCCAATCTTGAGCTTGCACAAACATATGATTATTAGGATTTCAAATGTTATATCATAACTATATAATTATAAGGTCGTATACCTTCTTTCCTCAATGTGTTTGGCACCTTTGTATAAATATTAAATGATTATAATAAATAATTGGATAAATATGAGATAAATTTCCTCCTAGTTTGCACCACGCACACCACACACTCACTATGAGCGGTTTTTGAATCACCGACTGTTTTCAGTTTGCCCAATCTTGAGATTGGTCAGCCAAACTAGGGAATCCGCAGTTTGGGCAGCACAATCATTGCACAATCTCGAGATTGTGCAGATTCCAAGTTTGGGTACAACATGAACATGCGTCAGTCAGGCCATCGGCTCTCCATCTGCTCTTTTGCCCATCCATCCATCTGTCGATCTATTTAGCTATCTATCTTTTGGAATTTCTTCCTATCTACCCATCTATTTATCCATCTTTCTATCTATCTGTTTGTCCATCTATCTATCTATTCATCTATCCATCCATCCATCCATCCATCCATCCATCCATCCATCCATCCAACTATCTATCCGTCCATTCGTCCCTCCGTCCGTCCGTCCGTCTGTCCATCCCATCCCATCCCATCCCATCCCATCCCATCCCATCCCATTCAGTGCCATCCCATGCCATGCCATGACATCCCAAGCCATCCCATCCCATCCCATCCCATCCCATCCCATCCCATCCCATCCCATCCCATCCATCCATCCATCCATCCATCCATCCATCCATCCATCCATCCATCCATCCATCCATCCATCCATGTATCTATATCTCGATATCTTTTTGTATAAATGTTTTTGTCATTTTCACACGTTATTCAGGAGGTGAACAATGGCCTGGATGGTCTGCAGCAACATCAAGAGATGTGCAATCTGCAGGTCCAGCAGTTTGTGCGAACCAAAGGTACAGCATGGCCACAAGGGCATACCTGCATTGTTATGTAATATTAGCATGCAGTAAGTCAGTTCAGTGATCTCCTCCCCTGGTAATTTCAAGAGGCTGCAACCACTCCTACCTGATCGCTGTCAATGTCTTCACAGAAAGTGTGGAGAAGAAATAAAAAGTGTGAAAGGATAAAAAATGGAATGGATAAAAAGTGTGGAAAGGTGTGGAAAGGATAAAAGGTGACTAACCTCTCCCCCATATCCATCTCCTATGTACACGATGCAACACTATTTCGTCATGGTACCATCTACCTTCTGCAGATCCTTCCGACCTCTGCCCTTGCCAGCATAACTTTTCACTACGGTGTGTAGGTCTTAGCATGAATCGAGTTCAGTGTGTGACCGAGAGTGACTTCTGCTTGTATTGCTGTTGCAGCACAGCTAGAGAAGTGGACGCAGCTCGTGCAAGCTCAGCCAGAGTACACCAGCAAGCTAGAGCAGGGCAAGCAGGAGTATACTACACTGTACCATAACGTGTTGAGCCAGCAGACGAGAATACGCAGCGAGCGACTGGTATGCTAACGTGTTGACGCTAAAAAACGTTCGCGTGCACGCATGTTTACACGCATCCACGCAGACACAACAACAAAAATTGCTCGAATGCACACATAGCCAGCGAACCGTTTATCTATGTATGCAGACACCGAAAGTGCTTACGTATGCAGGTAGACAGCAGAACTGCTTGCGCAGACCCACAGACAACGGCAACAGGTGGGCGGAGATGTCATCATGATCTCCATGCCGTGTCGATCAACAATAATTTTTAATACGGAGTAACGCCTTGCTTGTTGACGACTCCTGCGTTCAGGTGTTCCCGGGATAGTTATCATGGAACGGAGCCGCCTACCCTTTCGATTTTACATTTACACAATGCAAGGTCAATTTTGACAGCTCTTGTAGAACTGAGCTGGCGACCATGTCCAATTTAACATTTATACAACGGTCAATTTTGACAGCTCTGGTAGAACTGAGCTGCCGACTCTTGTCCGAGTTCGCATTCACACAAAGGTCAATCTTGACAGCTCTGGTTGGTAGAACATAGCTGTCAACCCTTGTCCGAGTTCACATTTACGCATAGGTCAATTTTGACAGCTCTGGTAGAGTGGTAACTGATGACTAACGGCTGTTGTAGGAGATTGCGGTCAAGCAGAGCGAGATGCTGACCCCGTAGGACGAGTTGCAGACGTCCGTCTAACAGGAGCTGGAGCGGTGGAAGGCCAAGCAGAAACAAA